ATCACTGACTATCTTCATCGTTTGTTTTGGTCATTCATACTCGTTTTTAATGATGTGAAATTCTAATATCAAACAACAAACATTAATCAGATTTTAGTCTTAAATAACCTCCCATTATAAGGAAATTTCTTTAAGGTTAATACCACTCGTCGCAGTTTCTCGATATGTAATTGCGACTTCTACTTTGTCACAGTCTCAGTTCGTAGCAGTGACTGTGACTGCTACTGCTATTGCAGAAGGCGCATTCCTATACAAAACATCATTGCGTCTGTTCCTTTGTCACAGTCTGTCACGGTGACTTTTTGGAAGTTGTCACAGCAGTTACCCATGACTTTTAGTAACCGTGACAAAGTCACAGGTACGCAAATATCTGCCACCTCTAGAATGTTTGGGCTGAACTCCGTTGCCAGATAGAATGAAGTTCAGCTTGTGTGGGTTGGGTGCAAGGACACTACTATCCTGCCCACCTTTAGTTCATACACTTTGAAATATTTTCGCTTCAAGATTGTATGAACTATAACGCGCCCAATTGTTCCTGCGCCAATTTTAGGGCCAAGCATAGCGGGAACGATCGGGTGCATCAAGGATCTCATAAACAAAACTCATGAGAGCCCCTGGTGTATTATTGACATCTGAACAAGTGTTTCCTGAAAAGGCCTGACAGGGTGGTAGCAAAATTTCTTCTCAGACGAAGAAGGAGTGATCTACGAGCCCTGATAGGGCTGATTATGGCGCACAATCCATGGGGACGGCAAATGGTCACCATAGGCATCATCGCCGATCCACTGTGTACATCGTGTGTTTGGAGGACGAGGATAGAACAGAACATTTTCTCTGCCGCTGTCCGGCCTTCGCCAGACTTAAAGCTGCAAAACTATCGATGGCACTATCTATAGTATCGATGGTTTTTGAATATCGAAAACATCGATGGTTTTGTAAGTACTATCGATAGTTTTCACTCATATTATTCAGTAACATACATATTTCAAAACGAAAATGCTGCTTGAAGCCAAAAATAGTTGATAAACTTTTGTTCCTTAACAAAAATATGAACATATTTTAGCAATGCTGATCTCATTTTCAATTAAAGTGATTGTGTTTAATTTTTGGACTTTTTAATCAAAACTATCGATAGTGTCGAAATTTTCGATAGCATCGATACTATCGATGCTTGTGACTATCGATTATCTAAACTATCGGATATATCGGATGGGATATATTGAAAATGGATGAGGTACATTCCTTTCTCAATCTCTAAAATTCATAAAGGAGTCTGGTAAGTTTGCAGAGGAGCAATGAATTCCCACCCCGTATATTCCTTTCCTCTAAACCCTATCTCCTGGTCCTAAGCAAATGGGGAATTCTGCTTGAGGGCTTGGAAAACATGGTTTTTGTTTTTTCCGGCCACCCAAAATTCCATTCCATTCCAGTATAGTTAATACGTGTACCGAATTTCAAGCAAATTGGACCATAAATACGATTTTTTTCGAATAGATCGGTTCCTGATTCAACTATAAAAAAATTCCTATAGTGTACTAGTCAGGCAATAAGCTACATACGTGTCATAAATAAGATTTTTTCGAATAGATCGGTACCTGGTCCACCTATCCAGATAAAACGTTATCCTATGTACATATTAATCCAGGCAATAAGTTACCTGCGTGCCAAATTTCAAGCAAACCGGACTATAAATACGATTTTTTCGAATAGTTCGGTCCCTGGCCCACCTACCGGAAAAAATTATACTATATGATGACTAACTATGTCCAATTCAGAATCGCACATAAATAAGTTTTCAATTGAGGCGTAACTCGGAACAGTAAATTGTCCCTGAAATGGTGTTGCTCATATAAATATTAATATACTTAAGAATTTAATGAATATCGGACATGCCGTTCCCGAGATTATCTGTTACAAAAAAAGGGACTTCTCTTTATGTAATAAGCAATAGATTACAGCGGGAATACTCGCACTGTCGACCTGCGCTAAACCGGAATTCTAATCACTCCAACCTTATGCTTTTTAAGAAGTTAAGCAGTTTGGAACAGTTTGCCTATCTTTAAAATTTTGATAAGATTTCCCAGTGTATCAGTCTGCAATTCAAGATACGTTCATGTCATATGATTTGGGGTTTCCTCCACCAGCCCACAAAACCTGTAGTCGTCTCTACATAAAGCCTCATTTTATTCAAATGGTACCTTAACTTGCAGATGTACTGTCAGGCGGTAAGTAAGAATTCTAAGAACCATCTGGAAGGAATCATGGATATCTTTGATTGTCTGATTCCTTTTGATTTCCGCTAGTAGACTGCAATCTGAGATTCTTCGCAACTCCTTCTACACAGACTTCGAATGCGAAAGACTTCCGCCTGGTATATGGTTGGGTATGTGAACCTTGCCAAATTTTTCTGGAATCTTAGTCTAAGTACAGCCTGCCCCAGTACTCCCGCCGTGCTGCGTGCATGTTGTTATCTTTTCACAGCAGTCCCTTTCAGGAACTCTTACCTTGTAGGGTTTGTGGAAAGATAACTTCGGTAGCATGATTTCCGTAAGCTTGATAGCGGGATGATCCAGGAATGGCTTGAGAACCTACAAATGACCCCGAAGGTTTCTAATTTTTATGCTGATTGCATTAGACAGACGCAGGGCGCTCCAGAAAACTTTTTTTTAATCAAAATAGACAATGGAGGATCCCCTGTAATGACAACAAAGGCATCCGTTGGACAGGTGCGCATAGCTCCGGTGATGGCCACGCAGACCAATGGGGGCAGCTTGCTCAAGTTTGCAACCGTTTACTCGATTAGCTTTTGACCATCAAGCCAGTAACGCTTACGTAACAATTGGTTTTACTACCGTATTGAAAGAGCAATGCGTTAGTTTGGGTGATATTCCCCAAGTCTTTCCATGAAGTCTCGGACAGGCATAAAATGTCCTTGTAGCTTTGTTGGTGACTTTCGATTAAATTCCAATTGAGCCTTTTATTCAGAGTTACTCCAAAATAATTCGCCTCTTCATAGAACTTAAATTCTGTCCCTGCCAAGTTGGGTTTAGTCAAGTTGGGTTTAGTCAAGTTGACTTTCCTTCTTTTGGTAAATGGGTTTATTGCTAAGCCTTTTTCAGCACTCCAGTCTTCAGAACATATACATACATACATGTTAGTTTTTCCTAACTTTATAGTTCAGTTCATTAACTTGTAAACACAAAGTATATAACTTGGATGTTTATATTGTATATTGGCAATAATAAGGGTATACGTTTGTACTTACTAATCAGATATATTTACATGTTTGCGGTCGCCGCTATATAAACGCTCCGGTGAAATATTCGTGCAAACAAGATTGCTAAAGTGTTTGGAGATACATATTTTCTATTATTGTCGCGGAAAATATCAAAATCCAATACAGCCTACCAGCCCACCAAATGGAAAAAGAACCTACCAGATTTCGTAGATCCCATGTGAGACAACACTGGTCCGTAGAGCACTTCATGAGTTTACTACAATTCTCGTGTGGCTAGACGGAAACCACTAATTTCAAAAGTGAACCAAAAGAAGCATTTAACCTATGCTAAGGAGTACATTAGCAAGCCAAGTGACTTTTGGGACAATGTACTCTCCTTGGATGAAAGTAAATTCAACATCTTTCAATGTAATGGCCGGTAAACTGTGTGGAGAACGCCCAACAGCTAACCGCAAACAGAGAATCTTGCTGCGAGTGTACTAAGTACATGGTGGTGGAGGAGTCATTGTGTGGGGCTGCATGTCTGCTGCAGGTAGAGATGGGCACGGGCCTAAATTTTGAGGCCCGGCCCGGCCCGGCACGACGGGACACGCCCCAGCCCGGAATAAAGAGCCAACTTTTATTGTATATATACATACATATGTACATATTTTTAATTTTGTGTTTATGTTCATACGTATTTTTTTTTGGTTCATAGGGTCCACTAGGACATTTAAAAAAAGCAGACTATTTTTCTGACCATTGTCAGAAATAGTAATATGTTTTTGCATATGCATTCACTCTGCTGCCTTACACTAATGATTAAGGGCCGGTTGTTCAATGTCTGGTTAACACAAATCGGAGGTAGAAGCTCCGATTAAAAACAAAAACTGCTTTATCGATCACATGTTATATGCATGACGTCGAACTCGTCGATAATGATGTACTGGCGATAACCAAGCATTGAAGAATGGGCCCTCGCCGGTTAAACATCATTATCGACGATTTCGACATCATGCATATAACATGTGATCGATTAAAGTAGTCGTTGTATTTAACCGAAGCTGCTACGTCCGATTTGTGCTAATAAGACATTGAACAACCGGTCCTAAATATCTTATCCAAAAGAAAATGTTTTTGTGTATAGTACCTACTTCAAATTCCTATATTCGTATATGTATGCAAGCAGGTATAAACCCAAAGTCAACCCAATATTTTAGTAGATTTGCAATTTTTGAAATGACTCCGAAGTTGCACTACACTTTTTCTTGTGTCTTTTGGAAACACTCCACTTTTTAAATTTTCCTCCGATCAAAAACTTCGACACGACAGCTCTGGCGATTAACAGAATTTAATTTGGCTCTCTAGTACTATGTACAAATCTTGAGAAATAACGAATTGGTGGTAGTTTAACCTACCTTACTGGACTTATATACTTGTATATGTATGCAAGTATGAATGAATGATAAAGAGAGGTACATGCATTTGCGCAATGAATTTATAGAGGGTTGTGCAATAGTAGTCAACAGTGTTGTATTTAACATAAGGGGTATTAATAATGTTGTAGCATTAATTTTATCGTTTAGGAATAAGGATTTACAGCAAAAAGAAATTTATTTTGGCTTTAAAAAGGGCATGCAAAAATAGTTTATTAAAATTTAACAAATAATTTCTATCTACGCCTGGCGGACTGACCTATGAAGAGAGTGATGAGAAGAGAGCATGTGATTGCACCAACACCTAAACGTTTACGGGTGTATTTGCCATTGCATCGATGCCAACGAAAATTAGTTGTAGTCAGTTCGAGTCTCTTGTTCGTGCCGTTCGCTTGTGTTTTCGAATATTGTATCCGTAAAATTCTTTGGTGCTACGCTAAAATATTTTTACAAGATACAAACAGCTACATACATACCTATATGTATATATGCAGATAAAAAAAAAAAATAGAACTGAATGAGTTTTTAGTGATTCTTGAATACTAAGTAAAAAATCACACTTACATATGTGTATATTGCATATATGTACATATGCATTCATTTAAATATTTGTTTGTACAAATAATGTTATTGCATACCTATTTCGTCGCCAAAATTTGATGAAAATTGAATTTCGCATCTAAATAACCCTGTGGGTGAACATACGAGTACATATGTGCATATGTACACACTTACATACATATGCATGTTTCTAATTACCACATTTTGTAGGAATTGATAAAATTTCGGTTTTGGTAGTGAACATAAAATGAAAACCGCCAGTTAAAAGTAATACGAAGTGAGAAAGTGTTCGTTAACTTCGTTAAAGGCAACAAATAACTAATTTTTTGCATGCAAAAAGGTTAGTCCAATATTTTTTTGCGAGAAATCAATATGAATTAATAAAAGGAACTATTTTACAATACATACATATGTATGTAATAAAATGTTGCCAGCTAGTGCGCCCTAAAGCAGACCTTGAATATACACATACATACATACATACATACATACAAATTTACATTAGGCATATGACTTCTTTTTAAATCAAATACAAATACGTACTAAATATGTAGCTGCAAGAAGAGGATAAGGAATGATGAAAAACCAACAAAAATAACGTTTTTGTCAAAATTTGGTACAAAAAGTTCACGCAGGGTACTCCAAGATAAACACAAATTTTTACTAAGTTTGTGCCCCTGAACTAAGCGAACGTCCTAAAAGATGTTTGTACCAAATTTTGACAAAATATTATTTTTGTTGGTTTTTCATCATTCCTCACCCTCTCCCATAAGTATATTTAATTTAACAAGTAAGAAAGTCTAAGTTCGGGCGGAGCCGAACATTAAATACCCGGCGCAGGTACCGCTACATGGTAAGCCGCTGTGTATAAATTTTGAGTAAATTAGCGTCCTTAAATTTCGAAATATTGAAGTTTCANGTATGTACGCATATACATACATTGTTGCAGTGAAAAATATATTTGAGTGTTTGATTTTTAATTTCTTATGTTAACCGAATCGATCAACAGTGATTTCCACCTAGACAACATACCTTTAAAATTTGTAGAAAACAAGAAGAAGACACAAGCCGTATCCAGCCGGAAACTTTTTGAACAAAATTCTATTTTGTCATTCTAATCTTCACATTAACAAAGTGGTAAAACTTTGGTGGCGGTTTCTGTTAACGAAAGGATACACAAAAGAGAAATAGGTAAGTTCAAAATAGAATGTTTAAAAAATAGTTACATGTGCATTAGGGCGGGTAGAAAATCTAATTTTCTCAAACCCTTTGGTAATAGTAAAATATATTGTATCAACAACAAGCCTGAAAAATATTAGTATTTTATTTTAATTTTAAGAGCCCGCGCATCGACCGGCAAGTGACCCACAGCATACTAGTCGAATAAGACCAAGATTTTGTTAAAAATTCTGGGTTCAGCAAAAAGGTTTGGTGTATATTATTAGATAATGAGTCCGTTAACGCAGGACATAAAGTCAAATATCATTTCTCGCAGCCCTTTAGCTTATCGTTAATCTCAAAGTTATCTGTTTTCAATAAAATTTTAATTGTTCTCTTGATAATTGCACTGGCCTATAGTCAAAAGATGTAAAGTAGTAATCTACTCTTTTTTTAATATTAGCTATAGTTTGCGAATTTTTGTAAATTTAGGAACAATTTCGGTGGCTCCAATAGAAAAGCCATTATTTTCCATCATCGTGTAAACATTTTGTTTATGCAAATGAGTATGGAAACACTGAACAGGCACAGCTTCTAGAGNAAGAATGTTTAAAGAATAGTTACATGTGCATTAGGGCGGGTAGAAAATCTAATTTTTCTCAAACCCTTTGGTAATAGTAAAATATATTGTATCAACAACAAGCCTGAAAAATATTAGTATTTTATTTTAATTGTAATGGCCCGCGCATCGACCGGCAAGTGACCCACAGCATACTAGTCGAATAAGACCAAGATCTTGTTAAAAATTCTGGGTTCAGCAAAAAGGTTTGGTGTATATTATTAGATAATGAGTCCGTTAACGCAGGACATAAAGTCAAATATCATTTCTCGCAGCCCTTTAGCTTATCGTTAATCTCAAAGTTATCTGTTTTCAATAAAATTTTAATTGTTCCCTTGATAATTGCACTGGCCTATAGTCAAAAGATGTAAAGTAGTAATCTAATCTTTTTTTAATATTAGCTATAGTTTGCGAATTTTTGTAAATTTAGGAACAATTTCGGTGGCTCTAATAGAAAAGCCATTATTTTCCATCATCGTGGAAACATTTTGTTTATGCAAATGAGTATGGAAACACTGAACAGGCACAGCTTCTAGAGACACTAATTAGTTTACTTATGTTTATGCATACAATATAAAAATTGCAAATATAGGAAAATTTGGTCAACATTTTTTTCATCTTAAAATAATTTTTTTATAGTTTGAACGATTTTCATCATATTATTATTATAAATCAGTAACTGTAAGTCCCGCCTTCAATTTGGTAATTATTGCGTGCCAATCGAGTAACATTTACCAAAATTATATGGAACAACTTTTTTCAACATACTAAAATAGTATGTACTGAAGTAGACAAAGCACAAAATAAATGTTCAGAAAAGTGGAAAATGTTTGGAATTTTTCCAGTGTTAATATATTTTAGAATTCCAAGAATCTTCTAGGTTTTATACACTAGTACCATAAACATAAGAATTTTTCGACAATATGTCATGCTTCACATATTTACATTTTAAGATTGATTTCAGAATAAATAAAATTCTTAAAATTTTGGAAAATATAAAAATTTCTAAAATATCAATAATTTTGAACATTTCCAAAATATTCTCATTTTACCAAAATTTCTAGAATCACCCAGATTTCAATATTTTTTTAAATTTTGGAAATTATCCTAGAAATAAGAAATCTCAAAAAATTTAATAATTTCATAAAATTCATTTGTTATTTTCTACACCCGCGAAAATATTCAAACTTGCTGTGACTTTCAACTATATAAAATAGTACACATTCGAAAATACAACAAAAAAATTAAAAATTGAAAATTAAGTAATTTGAAAATTCAGTGAATTCGAAGAACTGATAGGCATTTTTCACCAGTGTGTTATAACTATATCGAGCCCTAACCGCCAAAATAACGTAAGCGCCATTTTTTTCAAAATTTTCTTTTTGATGCAGAAATACATCTAAATGCCCCAGGAATATTTCTGCATCAAAAATAAAATTTTGAAAAAAATGTCGCTTACGTTATTTTGGCGGTTAGCGCTCGATATGATACAAAACAAATTATAAATTTTGAGAAAAATAACGAAATTGATCGATCATTGCGCAATTATGCGGACGCAGATACGGTCAATAATTGCGTGATTTTGTAAGTGCTCACGATGTTGCAGCAAAATCACACTCACGTCTGTTCACAGGGCGGCTTAATTATTTTTTTCTACAAAAATCTATAATATTGTTTTAAAACTGGTACTCGTTCCAAAAGATAATTTTTCAATTCTCTCGGCACACGCACAACGCAGTTAATTGCACTGCTTTATTTTTATTATAGGGATCAGGGGCCAAGCAAAGACCACTTTTTAAATATTTGCATGGAAATTTTTTTAAAGTTTTCATTGAAGAAAGCTTTGATAAGGTCATTTCAATAGGTAGCAACTAGGTCTGCACTATAAATCGTTCAAATTTGATGAAATGATGGGTAACTCTGGACTGTTTTAACCAGATTTTCTTTAATTCTATAATAGACAACATACTTCAGATGACTTGAAATTTTGATAGAATTTTATTTACAGTGCATATAAAATGAATTCAAGGTTTCCTGCCAATTGTGATGGTCTTAAAGTACTGCCAGCCCATGTTGAAATTGCATTGTTGCAACTGTAAAACAACATACTTCAGATGGGCTGTCCTTATCACAAGACATTATTAATATTATAAATAGATGAAATATCTAGAGCAACGAAGCAGCTGAGAGGAACTTACTTAAGTATAAAGTTTGCTTCCTGGCGAAAAGAGAGAAACCGACTTCTAATTAAAATTTTAGAAAGTGAACTTCAAATCAAAAGTAATATTAAAATACATATAATGTTTAGAGTTCTTTTACTATTTAAACACTGTAAGTGGAAAAGATCTCATTATTGCTATTAAAAAATGTCATATATATAAAATAATTTATTGGCTCCTGTGTGCAATGATATTATAACGGTATTTCGTACTGCATGTTAATGTGTATGCTAATATTAAAATGAATACCATTTTTATTTTTTATTAATAACATTTTATTTATATACGAAGGTGTTATTAAACCAAGTACTCTGGCGTTTTAAAGTATTATCTGCTATTTACATTCATAGTTCTGCTTGGAATAAAAGTGTACTGAAAAGTGCTGATTTTTATAGCATGAAGAATTCTAATGTACTGATTTCGCGCCAAAAAAATTTGGCAACCCTAGATGTGTTTAAAAATNTTTACTGATTTCGCGCCAAAAAAATTTGGCAACCCTAGATGTGTTTAAAAATCATTTTATTTAATAAAGGAACAAAGTGAATAGCTCTTCGTTAAGAGCAAAAATTATTTGATGANTTTTTATGAATAACATTTTATTTATATACGAAGGTGTTATTAAACCAAGTACTCTGGCGTTTTAAATTATTATCTGCTATTTACATTCATAGTTCTGCTTGGAATAAAAGTGTACTGAAAAGTGCTGATTTTTATAGCATGAAGAATTCTAATGTACTGATTTCGCGCCAAAAAAATTTGGCAACCCTAGATGTGTTTAAAAATCATTTTATTTAATAAAGGAACAAAGTGAATAGCTCTTCGTTAAGAGCAAAAATTATTTGATGAGCGCATACATACATAATTATGTATAGCTAAACATATTGACATGCACATTCATAGATATGTATGTAGTTATCAGAATTTATGGGTTGTGGTCATAAGCCGAAAACAGCAACACTAACGCCTACGCTAGCATGGCGCCCCGCCGCACAGTGGGGAAAAAGCCACCTTATTTCACAAAACCTGCCTATTCTCAAATTCGTTTATTTTTATATTTGTTAATTTTTATAAATGTTCGTAATTAAGTTTACTTTCGGTAGTGCCGCGGGTTTTAGGAAGTAAAGGAATTTCTCCAAAAATCAAGGGACTTTTGTAAAAAGGCATAGAAAGTTGAGTACATATAAAATACTAGAAAATGATTAGCGACTTTCTGGGTTTTACCTTATGACCTTAAAAAGGGCTATAAGTTAGAAAAAAAAGGTTTTTTGGGCTTCTCTTAATATAATAATTATATTTCTCATAATAAAAATTCAATAAAAATATTCAATTATTATCTAATGTGACAAAATTGCAAAAAGAAATAATTTCAATAATTTTTTCAAGGTCATAAAATAAAGCTACTTTTCTAATGCCACCCTAATGATTTTTCTAGGCCTTTTATTACAGCAGTTATTTGATTTATAGACAAATTCATACACTGACCCGCCAATGTTTTTCACTTCAAGGTGGCTACGAAAAAGCTTTTAGCATAGAATAGCAGCAACGAAAGCGTGATCACAAATTCAGCAGCGACTCACTATGACTTCATAGTTACTCATACAACGAAAGCTAAACTATACACATACGTTCACACATATCTTTATGAATATATGCCCTGCAGGAAAAGTGCCTAACTATAAGTTATCTTTATGTTGATTAGAAAGGACCTAAACTCACTTATTATCTGTATATTTTCTTTGACGAAAGCTAACTACATTTGTATGGCGATGGCCGCGAAATAGTCAAGGGTGGTTACCTCTGCATAAGATGTAGTCAAGGGTGGTTACCTCTGTATTTGATGTAACTAACTTGTAACTAGCTACTTTTGGACATAAAATATCAATAGGAAAAACAAAATATATTTTTTTATATTTTTTATTTTTATTTACTTTATTTATTTTATTACATTTCATATTTGTTTACATATTCTCCTGTAGGTGGTCCCATATTCCAACTCCGTCAGACATAACTTCAAAATGAAAATATGAAATTTCGATCTCCCTTTTATTTGTACTCAATTCGAAAAAGTATTTGCGAAGTGCAGGATATTTAAATAGAAACGCGTTTAAAGAAAACAATCTCGAGCTTTACTCCTGCATTTCTTGTCCACTTGTTTCAAGTTAGCTTT